TCATAACCCGAAATACCGTAAAACAAGATCCATTCGGTATTTATGTCGGATTCGGATCGGTTCGGATTCCTTTTTATCGGATCGGATTCGGTTCGGATTTTCGGGTTTCGGTTTTTTTGCCCAGTCCTACCATTTTCAGCTAAATATGAATGGCTTCAGTTCAGTTAATTCATAGTAAATACCCCTCAAACTAAAATATTCACTTTTGAAAGATGATAACATTTTTATTCATAGTATTTCATATAACTACAAAAAAAATAGATATACAGAATGTTTATACGAATGTTTCAAAATGTAGAATACCTATATATTAGTTTTTTCTTTAGTTTTTATATTATTTTGAAAACCTTCAAAGAGTACAGGTATTCTAACAGGTCAACTCCCAATTCATGAGGTCCTAGTGAAATGATTAATCTTTTATATTAGTGACATATGAATGTCGGCCAATATGGTATTTTCTTCTAGCTAGTTCCTTTGGTCGTTCAGTTTTGTACGCTTAATCTAATCTCTTTTTGTTAGTCTAATACGTAAGATTCAAATAAAAAATTCCAAACCAATACAATGGTTTTTGCCTCTTACAAAAAGTCTACCCACACTTGTACAATATTTTAGTTTTCCAGATGTTAAAGATTAGTCTTCCGACGGTGTAGTTATCTGGTAATGTCAACTCATGCTAAATAGTAGTACTAAACTAATTATTTTGGTACTTGTGTACCGCCTAATAATATGGAATATTAACTAGTTTATGTACACATACGTCGATAGTCGAGTAGTGTATAGTGGTCCGTGTATTAGCGATGTTGATATATCACCGTCCTAATTCAAATTTGATACAAATTTAATGTAAGTTTATTGACTAAAATAGTGTCATCTAAACTCTCTTTTGTTGCTGCCAAGCCTGCCATTCAAATTCGAGATTATAGCATTACTAGTTTATATTATTAATTTGGATCATGTAACCGAACATACAAACTAGTTTTATTTTTAGTGCCATTATTGTAAAATATTTCGAACGCATACATATTTGGTGAGTTGTATAGTTACAAAGTTATAGTCATTTCAATATAATCTTTTTGTTTTACTGGATTTTTGACATACTGGTCCACTCTAATTGTTTGTCTTTGTATTACTGATGCATTGTTATTGTTATTATGTTTTAAAATGATAAACTGATGAGAGCACGAATACAATTTAAAAAAAAAGAATTGTTATAAAAAGATACAAAGTATATGATTTATACATAAACTAGTATGTTAAAAGTAATGGCGCGTTTCCTAAGTATCTGATATTCATTGTAAATCTTCTATGTTGATTTTATACATTTTCCTTAGAAGAAAGAAGGAAAATTCCTATAAACTAATACATGATGAGAGGGTTTGACTTTATTAGCAACGTCAAATTTAATGAACCTCTCTTCTTCCTTGAACGCAAAGGAAGTTTCTTAGTTGGAAAACGCTGTCTCCAATTCATACGCTTCCTATCTCTATACTTATATATATATATTAACACAATATTTCCTCTCTATCTTAATTCGATGGCCATATGATCGTTATTACTAATTAATGTCCATGGCCACGAGTAGAGTATCCCACGTCATAGGGATTCTTATATGCATCACTCTTCTTCTCCTGTTCGTCTCCGAAGGTTTGTTTGGTAGTTTCAGCTCCATGTCCATCAAGCCTTTCCCTTCTCCGGTTATTAGCTCGCTGCGACCAGGAAGAAGAGCTTTTGTGGTAAGTAAGTTTGACTTCACACCGTTCAAGAAAGACCTTCGCCGGAAAAATCCTCAAGATGTTTCACAGCTGGGAGGATCCGAGATTGACCCGAGATATGGCGTTGAGAAAAGGCTCGTCCCATCTGGTCCAAACCCCTTACACCACTGATTGTCTCCTTATATATATTTCTGTAAATTTTCTTTATTAATTTGTTTCTTTCGAATTGATACTAAAAATTAAAAAGGATATACTACACTAAATTTAATTCATAAAAAGCTGCTAATATTTCTTTTGTGGATTATGTGTTTTGGATTATTTATTTTTCTTTGTCATGTGAATTTTTGGTTTTTACTTTCGGTGTAAAGAACACGATATTTAACTCATCTTGTATTACATTTGAGATTAGTTTATAAAATAAAACATCTTACATGTATTTTAGATCAAACGAGGCTGTACAATACACTTTTTTGTAAAATGAGATGTCTATATATTATGTTTGCGGAACAAAAAGGTTAGTAGTATGTACGCATTTGTTATTGTTATTAATATTAGTTAGGAGTTAGAACCAATAGACATCTATACTGCTTTTTATAGAAGAGTGCCTGAATATTCAGTAAATTAATAGTAAATCATAAATGCTTAAGTTAAGAAAAATAAATTAGCCTCGTTGAGAAGAATATGGAGATCGATCCTCTTATGACCATGTGAAGTGTTGACTTTCAATTGGTTACTGACTCACCGCTTCCAGATTTTGTGCAAACTTGTTTTGTTCTGCTCCAAAGGAGGTAGGCAAGGAAGAAATTAGCTCATGTTGTTTATATTTGGCAAAGACTGTTGTAATACTTGGTTTGGATTTAGTTATTTTGTGTTTTGACAATTTTGAGTTTAAAAATATAGAAAAAATTTATATGTTTATAACAGTTGATTTGATTTCAATATAAAAAAAATAGATTTAGTTACATCTCTTTTAATTCATTTAGTTCTAATGAAAATATTGAAGAATTGTAATGTTTTAGACTAAAAGTTCAATCATTTCATATAATTTTGTATGAAAAACCAATATAAAATTGAGTAATTTTTTTTTGTATAATAATTTTAAACATTTGATATTACTTTATTTTATTTTTCAATAATAAATCATTTGAAATATTATAATCTTAATATTGTATAATCAAAATTATATCTTATTTTTTTCAGAAAATTTATTTGGTTTGGCGATATTTTAGATATATAAACAACTTTAAGTTATTTGGTTCATTTCAATATGTTTTAATTGAGTTCTGATTAAAAACGCTGACAAAACACTTCATAATTGGTTTACTTTGAACCACAAAGGTTGATCTCGAGTTTACTAATTAGTTGGATTATCTCTAACAAATTGCAAATTTTGCAATTCACAACTCCATCCCTACACATTAGAGCTCTGATTAACTAGGTTTTCCAACTCCATCTTGAACGATCATCCACTAGCACCATTGTAATCCTAATAGAAATATTTGTCTTGATAATTAGAAAATTGTTTGCAAATTTGGGATCATAGCTTGACCTGCTAATTCTAATAGGAATCTGTGCTAATGCCCTTCATCGTCTACTATACGCAGTATAATACATCAATGCAGTATATAATACATTATCAGTATAAACAAAGACAATACATAATTAATAATTATCTTTTTAAAAAGAAATACAAATTAGTTATATTTTAAAAATCTTCTATTCTTCAAATATTACAAAAAAAAATATATATTAATAGTTCGTTTTTAAAGAAATATTTAATTCCACACACATCAAATAGTACATAATTAGCAGTTAGTTTATTATTTAAGCATATTAGAAAAACAAAAACCAAAATTTATTATAGAATCAGCAAACAATCAACCTCATAATTGTAAATCAAATTTTGATTCTAAACCGGATAAACCGAGAATACATTAGCGATTTTGACCGTTCACGCTGAAACAGTGACGACGTCAAAATTTTTCTGCTCTCTTAACCGCTCCTCCTTTTCTTTGCTTGCTCTTGACACACATCTCACTCTTCTCTTCGAATATCTGACTAGTTTGATTAACTAGTTTTTCCAACTCAACCTTCACCTCTTTATTCATGAAAGATCAGCTACTAATTACCAGTGTAATCCTCATAAATTTTTTTTGTCTTGATAATTAGAGTTTGTTTGTAAATTTGGTATCATAGCTTGACCTGCTTCTGGCCAATTTCACTAAGCTTAACGTTATTGTTGCTAACAATTTCAACAACGAGGCAAAACCAACATATTTCATCGGTATGATGGTATTTATTGCAATGTTTGTTTGCATAATCTTGTGTGATCGCATATTTCAATTAGTTATTGATTCACCGTTTCCAGATTTTGTGCAAATTTGTTTCGGTATGGTCAAAGGGAAATATACAAGGATGAATAAGCTCATTTAATACTCCTTTGTCAAAAACAAGTGTTGTGATATTTGGTTTGGATTTTGACCTCTTGAGTATAAAAATATAGAAACCTTTAGTATATTTATAACATTTGGTTTAATTATGGTTTAGATAATAGACTATTATAATCGATGAATATCGGAAATTGGATTCATACAATTTCATATATGAAAATCAATATAATTTTTGGCAATTCCATTTTTTAATAATTTTCTGAATAATTTGACGCATTTGATATATAACATTTTAATTTATTTTAAATATTGGATCATTCAAAAATTTATATCTTCATATTTTTATTAATATAAATTATATCTTAGATATTAAAACTTTTATTTGGTCTGCCATATTTTAGATTATAAAGAAACAAAATATATAATTATCTGGTTCAACTCAATATGTGTTATTTAGATTCCGAATTAAAAAATCGCTGGCAAAACAACACCAACAAGTAAGACAGGTAGAAAGAGAGAGAAAGGTAGAAAGAGAAAGTAGATCTGGCTCCGGCGTACGGTCGCCGCGTGAGCGTGCGTTCCGTCGTCGGAACCCTTTTCCTTCCATTTAAAAAGCTATTGCCTGGCTCTCCTTCGTTTCCTCTCTCCTATCGCTTTGTCTGAACTCTGGCTTTGACGCTTGGAGTAAAGACGCTGTCGGGGAAAGGTTTCAGCAATGGAAAGTCGTTTCATTAGAGCAGGGTTCGATTCCGGGAGGGGGAGGCTTCCTTAGCTCCGTCGCCGCCGGCTTTGCATCCGGGAGGAGGAGGCTTACACAGCTCCTTTGTCGCCGACTTTTGTCTCCGGAGGGTGGAGGCTTTTATAGCTCTGCGTTGCCGGCCTAGTACCCGAGTATGTTTGGGGTTTTTAGTTCTTGTTTTTGATTCATAGTTAGGGTTAATGTAGTGCTTGAGTTCCCTGTGTTGTTTGGGTTTATGGGATGAGATCTCAGAGAATTATGAAGCTCTCTGATGATGATGACAAGGGAAAGAGAAGAAAGAAGAGTTTGGAGTTTAGAAAGTGATTTCAGAGTGTGTGATTTGATAATACGGATGATATCTCGGTTTGTCCGATAGATGCTCTCCGTGGAAGGCTCTCCGATGGTGGAGATAGTTGCAGCGCCTATGTTTGAGGCGGCTCCGTTCCGTTTACGGCGAATCCGTAAGGAGGCAGAGAAAGAGGATAAAGACAGGGGTCTAGGGTTTTGGCCCAATATGAGTTACTTTGGACTGGGTTTGTGGCCCATTATGTAATTTGTCTTAGTTGCTTTTGGTTTGGGCCTTTGGGTCTTGTAAGGTTTCGGGCCTGTTAAACTTTTTAATTAAATTTGAAGTGAAAAAAAAAAACAACACCAACAAGTCCCATAGCTGCTGGTTTACTTTAAAATTTACGGTTTGCAATCCGGTTTTATAATTATTCGGTTTTATCTCTAACCATAAACAAAACAAATGAATCCCGGCACTCTAGAGGACCGGACCGGACCACCGATTAAATGGTTTTCCAAATAGCTTCTTCGGTTCTTCCTTATCTACTACAGAACAGAACAGATACAGAGAGAAATCTTCAGGTAGAGAGAGATCTATACATCGGCTTGAATCGGCTTTAGTTAATCGCACTGATAAACAAGAGAATTTGCTTATTTTCCCGGAATTATGTTGGAGCCTATCGCTTATGTAAATGGGTTTGCTTGCGTATTGGTAACCCTTCACTTGATGCAATTTCGTTGAATTTTCATTCTTCCCTGTTTCATCAAAAGCAACGACTTTTATTTCTGGGTTTTCAGTTCTGAATCAAACCCACATCGTACCTTAGCTTAAAGCCTTACACTTGATGATGGCGAGAAACGCTAACAATAGCTTGTTTCTAGAAGAATGGTTAAGAGTTGTGAGTGGAAGCAGTGTCTCTAGTAGTTTAGTGAAGCAGAACTCTGCACCATCTGCAAGGTCTATTATTCAAGCGTGGTCCGAGATTCGTGAGTCTCTTCAAAGCCAGAAGTTTGATACACGTTACCTTCAAGCTTTGAGAGTTTTGGTTAGCTCTGAGTCCACTATCCACGTCGCTGATCCGCAAGCAAAGCTTCTTATTGCTATTTTGGCTTTAAAAGATGTCTCTTTTCCGTTTGAGTCTTGCACGCTTGTTATGAGACTGCTTTATGTGTGGATTAGGAAAGCTTTTCGACCGTCTCAGGCTCTTGTTGGTTCTGCCGTTCAGGCTATTCGTGGTGTTGTTGATGATGGGAAGAGTAATCTGCAACCAGTGTTAGTAGCGCAGAGTGTTTTGGTTTCTGGTGCTTTTGCGTGTGTGCCTTCTCTGTCAGGAGAGTTGAAAGTCTTGAGCTTGGAATTGCTGTGCAGGCTTTTGGAAGAAGAGTGCTACTCACTGGTGGGTTCTCAAGAAGAGCTTGTTCCTGTAGTGCTTGCAGGAATTGGGTATGGTTTATCCTCTTCGTCTGATGTTCATTACGTTAGGCTACTGGACTCCTTGTTTCGGATTTGGTTGAAAGATGATGATCCTCGTGGTAGTGTCACTCATGGTCTGATGATTCTTCATTTAGTTGAGTGGGTTGTGTCAGGTTACATGAGGTCTAATTATGTAGACAAGATGTCTCTTTTTGCGAACGAGGTACTAGAGACTTCTAAGGAAAACTATACTGTTTTTGCTGTCTTGATGGCAGCAGCGGGAGTACTGAGAGCTTCCGTGGCAGGATCTAGTGGTGGTTCACAGAATCTTGAGGTTGTTTCTAAACTTAGAAACTCGGCGGAAAAACGTTTAGAAGCTGTAGCTAAACTTTTAGTTTCTAATGGTAATGTTACACTTCCAACCACTCAGAGAGATGATCTTCTGATGAAGTGCTTTGCTATAGCATTGGCTCGATGTGGGACTGTTTCTTCATCTGCTCCTCTGCTTTTGTGTCTCGCTTCTGCATTGTTAACTCAGGTGTTTCCTTTGGGCCATATATATGATTCATTTTGCAAAGATCCTATAGGACCAAGACTCATTTGGGTCAAGGAGCATCTTTCTGGGGTTCTCTTCAAGGAATCAGGGGCCATAACTGGAGCTTTCTGCAATCAATACGCAAAAGCAAGTGAAGAGAACAAATACATTGTGGAGAATATGATTTGGGATTTCTGTCAAAATCTCTACTTACAGCACCGTCAGATTGCTCTGTTGCTTCGTGGTGTAGAAGATACATTGCTTGGAGACATAGAGAAGATTGCAGAATCATCTTTCCTTATGGTTGTGGTCTTTGCGCTAGCAGTTACGAAACAATGGTTGAATCCAGTAGTGTCTGAAGAAAGAAAGATGGAGACATCAGTGAAGATATTGGTTTCATTCTCCTGTGTAGAGTATTTCAGACATATTCGTTTACCTGAATACATGGAGACAATTAGAGAGGTGATTTCATGCGTCCAGGAGAATGATGCAACTTGTGTTTCGTTTGTTGAGTCCATCCCTGCTTATGATAGTTTGACGAATCCAAAAGGTTTGTGAAATCAGTTTGTTTAATAGGTTGGTTCAGTAGTAAGATTTGGGATCTTTGTTTTTGTCTGCAGACTTGAGGATAGAGTATGAATGGTCAAGAGATGATGTACAGACATCTCGAGTATTGTTTTATCTTCGAGTAATCCCAACTTGCATTGGAAGGTTATCTGCTTCTGCCTTCAGGAGAGTCGTTGCATCCACCATGTTTTTGTATCCTTTGCTCTGATTTGTTTAGCCATGACTATGATCTTTAAGATTCCTTGACGATCATGTGGTTATAGATATATTGGACATCCTAACAGGAAAGTGGCACGAGCATCTCATACTTTGTTTGTAGCGTTTCTCTCTTCAGCAAAGGAAACAGAAGAGAACGAAAGAAACCAACTCAAAGAAGACCTTGTATACTATTACATGGAAAGATCTTTGGAGGTACCTAAACTAACAGAACAATGGATGCAGTGTCGCTCTTTTTCTGTTGTTCATCACTAGTTATGTATGGTTCAGGGTTATCCTGAGATCACACCATTTGAAGGTTTGGCTTCAGGCGTTGCAGCCTTGACCCGGCATCTACCTGCAGGAAGTCCCGCTATATTTTACTCTGTCCATAGCCTTGTTGAGAAGGCTTCAACTTTTAACACCGATGAGTCCCAAGGAAAAAAGTCTGATCCTGGTAATCAGATTCTTGACTTGCTTCTGAGACTCGTCTCTTTGGTTGATATACAAGTAAGTTTCGTTTCCATCATCTTAAGCTAGTTAAAAACGGCTTATATGCTAATGTTCTCTTTCTCTTTGTGTTCAGGTGTTGCCTTATCTGATGAAGTCATTGGCACAGCTTATTATAATGTTACCAAAAGAAAGACAGAACATGGTGCTTGGTGAACTGTATGGTCAAGTGTCTGAATCAGACGATGTGATTCGCAAGCCTTCTTTAGTCTCTTGGCTACAGTCACTGAACTACTTATGCTCTAATAACCGGACTCAAGGCTCAGCTTCCGGACCAACGATAGACACTTCTAACCAGTTAGCTGCTCGGCTCTAGGAATCTCCTCATAGTTTTTTCCAAACATGTGAAATAGAGAATAAAAATGTTTTTTCCCTATATATTGTTAAATTTTAAAGAAAATGACTAGAATACTCCTAAAAAAGTTTTTGTTACAAATATAGACCTTAATAATTAAAATGATCAAAATAACACTTAAATGTTTTATTAAATATATATTTTACTCCTTAGGATAACTAATCCTATACTCTTTTGTTTAGAGTTGAGAACTGAGATTTTGAGGATAGGGTTTCAATTTTTTTTTTTTTTTTAAATTAAAATTTTCAAAATAAAAAATGTTATTTTGATCATTTTAATTTTTGAGATCTATTTTTGTGATAGAAATTTAAAAGAGAACTATTTAAGCCAATACATTTCAACAAAGGAAAGATGGTTCATTCCATATGATTTTTTTATTTTTTGCCAACACATTCCATATATAAGATTGTTGATGAAAAAAAAAGAAAATATTGAACAAAGAAAAGATTTGTTTTCAATTTCTTCAGATAATAGACATAGTCTTGGAGGAAGTCATCGTCTCAGTCCCATTAGCTTTCATGAAGACAACTGGGAATGGAATAGAGCCTAAAGTCAAACTCCGAACACCATATTGGTCATTAGTTATCCCAACATCTAGGCAACTGTGGACAGAACAATAAGAAATCGTGTAGGCATCAATAATTCCCTTATTTCTCCTGATCTGGAAGAAACTCCTCCGGGAATCTTGTTGTGGCTTAGGACCACCTACTACTAATAAATTATTGTTGAGCCACCAGTAGGTTGACTGCGCGCAAATGGTAGATTTGACATCCATCTCAATGTTGAGGTTCTCTGCTTCAGGAACGAATCCAACTCTAGACTTCCAGTTTGAGAATCTTGCGGGAATACCTCTCTTGCTATAGGAATATTCCTCACCGACATAGAGGGGACATTGGTTGCCACCACGGGGAGCGAGAGTGAGGCCACCACCAAGAGGTTCAAACAATGGGGGGATAACGTAGTAACTGCCACCGATCACCATGATATTACCATCAGTGTCGAGAACTGGTTCGCTGGCGGTCGCGGCCAAAACAGTTGTTAAGGCAAGAAGGAAGTAAAACATAGGATTCATATCTTTTTTTTGAGTGTATGTAGTTGATTTGATTTGATGAAGAAAATGTGAGTTCATGTGATCGGTATTTATACACAAATGTGTGTATACATGCACAATGCAGCTTTGTATACGCTACACTTAGGTTTTGAATTATTAATTAACTTTTAAATTAAGCGAGTACATCGAGATTTGAGAAGATAATTTTGTTTACTCCACGTTCCTTGCATGCTTCTTATTTATCTTTATTTTTACCTTTTCTCTTCTGACACTTCTTTAATTTGTTTGTTTAGTTATTCCATATGAGAAGAAAGAGTTTTAGCCTGGTCTTGAACCGTTGGTTAATGAATTGTGTTCGCATGGGAAGAATAGTGTTCACACGGGAAGATAGGGTTTTAAGAATAATTTTATTTAAATAAACTAGATTTCATTTTCGTAATGAGAAAATAGACTGAAGATTATTAATACATATATTTGTAATTTACTTCTTTTTTCCATATAAACCAAAGAGTTTTTTTTTTGTCAAGTCAGATTCATATTGCGTCTAATGATTATTAGACTCTAATCCCAATGTCTCATGCATGCACCAACCTTACTAACATTTATATAACTCTCTCATGTCTAACTGTAGACTCCAGTTTATTCCATGTCTAACTTTTCATGAATGGTAATGTAATTATGTAAACGAATCAGTCTCTTATTCTTGGAACATGCTACATCGTCAAGACTGAATTATCCAGTGTGTATCACACAAACTCTGTTATTTACATCATCATATCCTAGCTGTTACACAGCAACTATTTGAGATAACCGAAGGCAAGAATGCCGAGGCAGCCAATGGTCAAAGCAAGCAGAACAGGTACAGTGGATGACTCAAGGTTCTGTGTTGTGCTGTCTACTCTCTCTACGCGAGACCTTTCTTCAACATACTCCTCAACAAGATTCCCCAGTGTGCCCATTTTAACCATTGTCTGACGTAGTTCACCACCAATACGTACAATCTGTCCACATATAATAAGAGAAATGAAAACTGAGCATGTGATTTCTCTGTTGATGTCTTACTGAAGTGAAGTAATTCAAGAATAAAAAAAAATTGAGCATGTGATTCTGATCTTGTTAAAAAAAAAATACCTCTTCCCTCAGAGCAGATTCTATTCCAAGCTGAGACGAGGATGGGGACAGCGATAAGTTTTGCACTGGTAAAGCACCTGAAGCAGCTATCTTGGAATTCAAGTCTTCAAGGTGGGATGCGAGGTCATTCATCCTCTCGTTAAGTGTTGTTATTTGTTCTAAGAGCTCAGTGATAACACCCTATAGAACATATACAATGTTCAGTTATGTGAATTGTCACCCAAATTTCTACAACTCTGGAACAACAGAACCCATATATACTGAAAGATCTCAGGGCAAAAAAAAAACAATGAGACCATTCTTACCTGAATTTGAAGAGTGGCTGATGATGAAGCAGGGGCACTGGCTTCTAACATTCTATTGTTAACAGAAAAGGCTTGTCAAGTTAGGCAAAGACTTTGTGTAAGACTTTAATAAGAGGATTGATTACCCATGATGATAGTTCATTCTACTATCAGCAGAAGCTTGAGGAATGGTAATTAAGCTAAGTTGTGTCTTCAAGTCATCTGGCAAACCCTGAAACATGACGCAAACACCCCTAACATTAATCAAACTACCATAAACCGAATCTGTTTGTAATAAAAAGCACAAGTCATAACGTAACATCATTCACACGCCTCTCTAGCGGTATCTCTTCTATATAAGTATGTGGAACATATGAACCTTCTTCTAATCCGAGTTGGTTTGCCACATTTTCCACAAATGAACGGTTTCTACCTTGTACCTACAAAAAAAAAAGGAGTTGATTACTAGTTTCAAAACACAAACCTAAATACGTAAAAGATGTTAAAGAAGAACAAATCTTTTTCATCAAACCGTTTCTTATTCACTACAACTAAACGATCAAGATTCATCAGAAGTTACTATGAGTAAAGTTTACTGCAATGGTGACTTCGCGAACGCTTTGTACATGCGATCAAGACGAACGAAATCAAAGAATGATAACATTCCGAATCTGATCGTAAGCAAAAGAATCAAAGAACGATAGAAGACGATAAGAAGACGAGAACTGCAATATATATAAACGTTTCAGTCTTCACTTTAAACCGAAGAAGAAAGCTTCGCACGAGATTACGCAAGAATCGTCGGAGATCGAGAAAGATGGGAAGAAGAAGAACGTTGAAGATATTTTCGTAGCAGTCAAGTCACTGAGAGAGAGAGTAAGAAAGATTATGGAACTATAGAGAATGACGAGTATAAATAGAGTTCAAACAATAAACCGGACTTGAAATTGAACTTTATCCGGTTTTGGTTATCAAAACATTGGACCGGATATGAATTAAAAAAGAAAAACACTTTCGGTCTCTACATCGGGTTTACTTTAAATGAACCGGGAGATAAACCGAAAATGGATTAGCGAATCAATGTGAGCCGTTACTCCACGTAACGACTTTAACCATCACACGTCACACACGGTCGTGGAGCAGAGACGACGTGGAACAAACTCATCCTTCTTCAATCTTCTTCTTCCTCTCTCTCTCTCTCTCTCTCCTTTTTTTTCTTCAAGAGAAAATGGCGAAGCTTCTACTTCTCCACGCGCCTCAAGTAGTCTTCACCACTAGTAGGTCACTAGTCTCTGTGACGGCTCTATACAGAAGACCTCTCCTCCTGAACTCCAAATTCACCTCTTCGGATTCACATTCATCATCACATGTCCTTCCTCGTATTCGTAGATTCTCGGCACGTGCCTTTGACGATTCACCTACTTCCTCCACAGAATTGGAGAAAGATCAGCCTAAGGATGGAGCTTCTCCGGTGGCAAGAGATGAGGAGTATCCAACAGGAGAGATGGTGTACGAAGATAGAAACGCGTGGGAGAGCTTTGTAGTCAAGTTTAGGATGCTGTTTGCTTATCCTTGGCAGCGTGTTCGTAAAGGAAGCGTCTTGACTATGACTCTGCGTGGCCAGGTTTAGAAGTTTTCATCACTTTCTTTTTACTAATGTAATAAAGTTTAGATTTTTAAATCTCTCTTTCTCTCTGTGTGTGTTTCAGATCTCTGATCAGTTAAAGAGCCGTTTCACTTCAGGGCTTTCACTTCCACAAATATCTGAGAATTTAGTGAAAGCTGCGTATGATCCTCGTATTGCTGGAGTCTACCTTCACGTTGAGCCTTTGAGTTGTGGTTGGGGAAAGGTTGAAGAAATTCGTAGGCATATATTAGATTTCAAGAAATCAGGTAGCTTCCTGAGTGATATCTCTTTACTACTGCTTTTAGGAGTGTTGGAAGATCATTTGATCAAAACATTATCTTTTTGTCAGGTAAATTCATTGTTGGGTATATCAACATATGTGGACTCAAGGAGTATTATCTTGGCTGTGCATGTAGTGAGCTCTATGCTCCCCCTAGTGCCTATTCCTTTCTTTATGGTTTGACTGTTCAAGCTTCTTTTCTTGGAGGTAATGATTCTTTCTTCTTTGGCACTCAGTTTCTCGCTGAAGAAATAGTAGTTACAAGTCCGTTTATGTTCTGTATCATAGAGAATTACCTTACATTCACTCTGCACACCATCCTTTATTTATTGAGATAAACTTTTGTCGAACTGAACCTTTACTTCGCTCTTTTTTGTAACTAAACTCCTACTCTTGTTAGTGAAAGTCCTAAAGCTGAATATGAAAGTTACAAAGCAGGACTTATGCAACTAGTAACTTTTTTTCAAAACTGTAGGTGTTTTTGAGAAGGTTGGGATTGAACCTCAGGTTCAAAGAATTGGAAAGTACAAAAGTGCTGGAGATCAGCTTGCTCGCAAAAGTATATCCGAGGAGAATTACGAGATGCTGAGCGTGCTACTTGATAACATCTATGCAAATTGGCTGGATGGCGTTGCTGATTCAACAGGTTCGACACCTTTTCACACAATGTTGTTATGGTTTTTAACCGTTTAGCTCTCTCCTGAGTGGCTTCTGCTTAGAACCATGCAGGGAAAAAGCGAGAAGATGTTGAGAGTTTCATCAATCAAGGAGTTTACGAGATTGAAAAGCTAAAGGAAGAGGGACTGATAAAGGATATTCGGTATGATGATGAGGTAATACTATTTCTCTTCTCGCTTAACCGCAGAAGCTCAAGTGATGGTGCCTATTTCGTTCTTTGTCATGAACTTTCCTTTTGGATGTTTTGGTACTTTATCAAATATCGGGATATAGTTATAAAGTTTCCCTGAATAATCTATTTAAAAGAGAATTATATAACGGCCCCATACTCTTTCTGATCAATTTCAGTCAATTTGAATGCCCCTGCAGGTTATATCAATGCTGAAAGAGAGGCTTGGAGTTGAAAAGGACAAAAAGCTTCCCACTGTTAATTACAAGTAATTAACTCTTACTACTTTAAATTGTCTATGCAATGTACAATTGGTTCAAGGCTTGTACTATGGGGTATTGTATACATAATGGGTACTATCTGCTAGTTCGTTCCTACATTATTGGGAAATCTTGCTTTAGAGTTGGAGAACTGAAGATCATGTGGTAGTACGGGCTGCAGAGATCGTAACTTAACAAAGTGTAGATCAGATATTTCTGTTCTATTGGTTCTCATTGTGCGGAATTAAATCTTATGCAATTTCAGGTTTTCTATTGCTTATTTTACTTGTTTGCATTTTCTTCTGCGGTTCCATTTTAGCATCATGCAATTTTATAAACGTTACAGGCTCAATAACATGCATGCATTCTAAACTGAAATACGTTGCGTAGGAAATACTCAGGTGTTAAGAAGTCGACTCTTGGTCTAAGCGGTGGTCGAGACCAAATAGCTATTATTAGAGCAGGGGGAAGTATTTCTCGGGTTAAGGGTCCTCTAAGCACTCCTGGTTCATCTATTGTAGCCGAACAACTAATTGAGAAGATCCGCAGTGTAAGAGGTAGGTCTGTTTAACTTTGTTATTTTTCATCTACAAAGTATACTTTGTCTTCTTCAACAGCAGCTCAAAACTTTCTATTTCCTGTTTTCTTTTGAAGAGAACAAAAAGTTTAAGGCTGCCGTCATCCGAATTGACAGTCCAGGAGGTGATGCACTCGCTTCTGATTTGTAAGTATTTTTAGTTCATCTTCAACGCTGTGTGAATGAATGTACCTTAATAAGCTCATATGATTTAACATGTCATGGATGGTTTGGCTTCACCTTCTAACATGTTGAGCTCAGAGTCACTACTTTAATATTATTTTATATTATGGAAGTTTGGAGTGGCATATCCTAATTAACTCAAGTAAATGGACCAAGAATGCAATTGAATGTCCATTAACTTACCAATTTGATGTATCAAGCCTAGAGATCATGTTAGGATTTGAATTTAGATAGCTTTGGGAAATCTTTTAGGCTTTATCATAATACTACTTATTTGTATACAGAATGTGGAGGGAGATCAAACTATTGGCTGAAACGAAACCTGTCATTGCATCAATGTCAGATGTGGCAGCAAGCGGAGGCTACTACATGGCAATGGCTGCAAACACCATTGTTGCTGAAAACTTGACATTAACTGGCTCAATTGGAGTTGTCACAGGTGATCTTACTTTGTCATCGCCAAAGAGAAAATTGTGTGCTCTGCATCTTTGTAAAATTCTCTCTTTCACCATCTCCGTTGCTTGATTGCATTTTACTACTCTTGTCGTTGCAGCAAGATTTACCTTGGCAAAACTATATGAAAAGATTGGCTTCAACAAGGAAACTATATCTAGAGGCAAATATGCTGAGCTTCTCGGGGCTGAGGAAAGACCTTTTAAGTAAGTTACCTCACTCCATCTATCACATCGAGTATACCTTATACTACTCTGTAAGAAGGTATACGCTCCTTTAATTCACATTATAAGAAAAGTGCAATTTTGTTTTCAGGCCAGAGGAAGCTGAACTGTTTGGGAAGTCGGCACAGCATGCCTATCAGCTTTTCCGGAATAAAGCAGCCTTGTCAAGATCGATGCCTGTATATGTTCTTTCCTGTATTGCTGTTCTTCATTACCTTTTCTAGACTAATATTCTGTTCTCTCATGTTCATAGGTTGACAAGATGGAAGAAGTAGCACAAGGCAGAGTCTGGACCGGTAAGGATGCTCACTCTCGTGGTCTAGTTGATGCTCTCGGCGGATTGTCCCGAGCTATAGCCATCGCTAAGCAGAAAGCTAATATTCCTCTTGACAAGAAGGTTAGCCTCTGAAACTCTCGTTTACTTCACTGAACTCATCTTTATACAGCACAAGGTAGCTTACATTAGATTACTTTGGTTATTCGTGTGGTTAAATACAGGTAACTCTTGTCGAGGTTTCAAGACCTTCTACATCACTACCAGATATCTTAAGCGGTATAGGCAGTTCAGTGATTGGAGTAGACAGAACATTAAAAGGACTACTCGATGAGTTAACAATCAGCGAGGGTGTGCAAGCTCGAATGGATGGAATCATGTTTCAGCAACTTGGCCGAGATTCTTTCGCAGCTCCTATCATTGATCTTCTTAAAGATTACCTCAGCTCTCTCCGATGATTCCGCTACAAGGAAACGTTACTTAATAAAAGACGTTCATCAATGAAATTAAACTGATATCAAGTTAAAACCGATTATACATGAAGTTAATGTGAAGCAAGTTTCAAACCTTGGCATTAACAGTTTTCAACAAATCTCTAACATATAAATATGAAGCTGTGTCTCTCTTATAACACCAATAAAAACAATAAGCAATAATGAAGACCTCAATGAGCAGTAGCACCATCGTCTTCTTCCTAATCACTCTCTCCATTTCAGCTATCTCCTTAGCCAAGGAGAGTCCTGTGGAAGGTTGCATAAGAAAAAACATCGCCCAAGTGCTCACTCCTTCTCCTTCAGACAAACCCACAACATCTAATCTCAACCTTGAAGACGAGTTATGCAAAGAAGAGACACGAATAGTCAGGTACTTCTTGGAACTGAACGGTAAGTTCCCACGTTACTACCTCAAGGCAATGTGCAAAGTATTCGGAAAGGACGAAGCAAAAGTGAAGGCCTACGTTACAACCAAATGGTTAGATCATTCCGAAAAGCTCCTCAGCAGCTTATCTTGCATAACAAGAACCAGATTAGTAATCAAGACGAGCCCTCTGGAAACTTGCATTAAAAAAAACATCGGCGAATATCTCTTCCCTTCTCCTTCAGGGAAAACAAAAATATCTCATCCAGAGGTCATAGGATACCGTATCATAGGAGACGATTACTGCAGAGACGCGGCACGAGACATCTTGTACTTCTTGGAACTGAACGGTAAGTTCCCACCTTACTACGTCAAGGCATTGTGTAATGTGTTCGAAGACGAGGAAAAGAAAGTGAAAGAATACGTTATGAAGAATTGGTTATATCATTCAGACAAGCTCATCGATAGCTTATATTGTTCTTCTCTATAAACTTTTGATTAATAAAAATTATCAAAAACTTAATAATATTTTATTTGCAGCTTTTATTACATTACATGTTACCAACAAAGTTGGTCGTTAGTGTTCCGACATAAACAACACTTTTATATTCATTCACTTCACTAACTAACGTATCTCCATAATATTCTCCGAGAGAGACACGCCGGATTATCTCACCGCCGGCGTTGACTTTCACCGCTGAAGGCTTGGTGGGGACCACTATAAGCTTCACGGAGTTGGAAGCGATCCAGAAATCTCCACCGTCTGTTCTCCTTATGTTGTCCGGACCAGGTACCGAAGCTACGAAAATGTCCCACGTGTTGGCTTTTGGACCTTTGATCCAATACCTTAAGATACGATTCCTCAAGAACTCTCCCACCAGAACAAACTCTCCGTCGGAGCTCACGGCGCATCCCGCGGAGCCACTTAAACCGCTTAACAAAACGGTTACGTTTTTAGTCTTTGGATCGTATCTAAAGAACCTCCCCGTTGCATCATTAACAGCAACAGCCAAGACAAGTAGACTGTAATAAATAACAAACAAAAAAAAAGATTACGTTTGGCCGGTTTAATTAAACCGAAACGTTATGAACTCAATTTTTTTTATTTTAACCTGGGGCCAAATCTTGTGCTGAAAGATGTGAAGTAAACCGAACCGGTCACTGGATCTACGTCCAAACCGTCAAGGAATTTAAATGGTAAACCACCTGCGCTATCGGCTAGACGCTTGGCTTGGCCACCGTGGCGTGAAACCACGTACAAACCCAAGAATGCATCGGCTATGTATAAATCTCCGGTTATCTCATTGAAAGCTAAACCGACTGGTCTACCACATATGTTACCAAGAAAAGTCCCTATTGCTTTACCACATAGTGACTTGTTCCTATGAAAAATAAACATTTGAGATATTACAAAAAAAAAGTGTGTATGCTTAAGTATATCGAATGTAAAAAAAAAAGTATATCGAATCTAAACATACGCAATTGGTGTAATAAAAGCGAACTCTGTAAAGCCAACTTTTGGTCCTTGGTATTTGAGGATCTTGCCGCCGGAGACTCCAGTATATGGTCCTCCACCGTGAGAATCGAAAGCAAATGCTTCGGGACCAGATACGTGTTGTGGCAGTGGAATCTTCTGGAAGGTTACAAGAGTCGAGACAAAAGAACTAGATGAAACTAGACTGAGCACAACGCAGAGGATGAAGACTCTCTGTGTTTGCAACATTCTGACTCATCAAAAATGGATCACAGATCACTCTAGCATATTTGTATGCATACAGGGACAAGTCTCCGGTTTGACTGGATCGCAACCGGTTGGTAAATGGTTGTTAACCGGTTCTTGATTAGATTAGATGCTCTTCTTGAAATATGTCACAAGACTTTTGTCTCCATTGTTTTAAATTAGCAATTAGTTTTGTCTTTTTCTGTCTCGTTTTCACGTGAACATGAACTTTCCAGCTAATCCGAATATAAACATTTTCATTTGTTATTTTAAAAAAAATATTTCCTAAATCATGTATTATTGTTTTATAACCCGTCTTTAAACAAAAGAAAATTATATTTATTTGGTTATTTCAATAGGCTCATCAAAACATTAGATATCAGGTTTATTAAGAAACAAGCATATTACATATCTAAAGAAAGCACATTAACACAATCAACATTAACGGGATAGCTAACACAAAAACAAGATAAAATGTAAAATATTAATATTTTGGACTCCCAAAAAAGGTTAAATATGGTTTCTATGTTTAATAAGTACTATTTAAATTGATTGCATGCGTTCACCTGAGTTTGCTGCGTTTTTAGTATACCGTAACGTGTGAGAAGACTACACACACATCCAGCCATGCATCAACAGGTAAGGGAAGTAAATTGATACTATGATATTTGTTTGTTGTCAATGACTCAATGTTATATATACTACATTTACTGATTGCAAAATTTTCTTGATTACACAAAACTCTTGATCCATAAACAAGATTAGTAATTTGGAACAAGATCAAATTCTAGGAAAAACTTCGCCTTCAATGAACGCACTAAGTACGATGAATTTGATTGTCACATTGTTCGCAATCAGCTTAAAATAATGATCTCAGAGCCATTCATGTTAATAGTGACAATAAACTAAGCGACAAAGGTTTGAGGGAACGTATTATCAGTATAGTATACTCCGTTCATGTTAGTCATTTTTCTGTATATACTTGGTGTGCCAATAACAGTCAGCGAAGGAGTACAAGCTCGAATGGATGGAATCTTGTTTCAGCAACTTGGCAGAGAATCTTTAGAACCTCTATCATTGGTCTTTTAAAGGATTACCTCACAGCCCTCTGCGATGATTCCAACCTTATACGTTATCATGAAACGTCTTCAAAGCCATACTTAATAAAGACTTCATCAATGACATTAAACTGATATCAAGTTCAAACCGATTATACATGAAGTTTCACCGTAGCCATTTACTGTTTCATATAAATATGTACATGCATTGTCTCTCTTATAACACCAATAGAAACAATAAGCAATAATGAAGACCTCAGTGAGCACCATCGTCTTCTTCCTCGCTGCTCTCTCCATTTCTGCCATCTCCTTAGCCAAGGAGAGCCCTGTGGAGGGTTGCATAAGAAAAAACATCGCCCAAGCGCTCACTTCTTCTCCTTCAGACAAACCCACAACATCTAATCTCAATCTTGAAGACGAGTTATGCAAAGACGAGACACGAATAGTCAGGTACTTCTTGGACCTGAACGGTAAGTTTCCACGTTACTACCTCAAGGCAATGTGCAAAGTATTCGGAAATGACGAAGCAAAAGTGAAGGACTACGTTACTACCAAATGGTTGGATCATTCAGAGAAGCTCCTCAACAGCTTATCTTGCATAACAAGAACCACCTTGGTAATCAAGAAGAACCCTTTTGAAACTTGCATAAGAAGAAACATTGATGGAGATACCATAGGAGAAGACTACTGTATGGAAGAGGCACGAGATATCATGTACTTCTTGGAAATGAACGGGAAGTTCCCACCTGAATACGTCCAGGCATTGTGCAATGTATTCGAAGACGAGGAAAAGAAAGTGAAAGAATACGCTAGGAAGAATTGGTTTTTTGATGATACAGAGAAGTTCATCGATAGCTTATCTTGTTCTTCTCTATAAAAATAAAAATAAAAAACTTTATAATAGATATTTACGACAGCTTTTCTTCATTAGTAGAAGATTTGGCTATAGCAACCAAGATTTTATGGCAAAATTGGAAAAGCTACAAAAAATGTCACGAAAAACCATGCACGAAATGAAACACATATCTACTCTGTGTGTAAATCATATATAGAAAAAAGCACGAAATTGCGACAATATAAAACGTAGCTAAAACTAGCCATGTTATTTTGTCATGAATATTACGTAATAAAATTGTCACGAAATAAAGTGTGGCTGATTACAAAATTTTTTTTTTTTTTGCCATGATTTAGTCACGAATACAAATACTGGAATTTTCATTTTCAGGATTCCTTTTAATTTCTCTTAAATCACGTGGTATAGTGTGTAACCTATCTTTTGATAAAAAAAAGAAGTGTGTAACCTATCTTTAAACAAAAATCATGTGTTTGATATTTGAACAAGATCAACATTACATATCCGGTTTATTCAGAAACAATCACTGTAACTTCTTAAACCCTTATTAAAACTAGCATTATATCATCACTTTAAAGCTTAAGGATTCCGGCAAAAGAACCAAACAGAGTTCCAATATAAAGCTTTCCTTGGGACTCGTTAACCTCACTGACCAAAGTATCCCCAAACTTATCCTTAAGCGAAATCTTCTGAAGCACTTTACCATTAGAATTAACTTTAACCGCTGACGGGTTTGTTACTCCGGTGGCTGTATTCACAACCGAAGCAACCCAAAAGTTTCCAGTAGAACCGATCCTCTTGATATTGTCAGGGTTCGAGACAGCATTGGTGAAGTCTTCAGAAGAACCAGCTTTAGGTCCCTTGATCCAATACCTCTTGATGTTACTCTTGGTGAACTGACTAACCAGCACGAACGAACCATCTGAGCTAACGGCACAACCGGCTGAGCCACTCAAACCTTCTAGCAATACAGTCACAACCTTTTTATATGGATTGTATTTGAAGAGTTTTCCTGTAGCGTCTTTTGATGCCACTGCTTTCAATACATCGCTATATGCATAAGACATAGTAATATTTATGCAAAAAACAAAACATATTGGTTAGTAAGAAATAATAAATTTAAATGATATATGATACAAATGAAGTGGAAGTTTACCCAGCCCCAAATTTCGAGCTGAAGGAAGTGAAATAGACGACGCCGGTAGTGTTATCAACGTCGAGACCATCGAGAAACAAGAAGGGTTTGCCGTCAACACTGTCGGCTATCTTCTTGGCAAAACTGCCGAAGACAGGATGGATGACGTGAAGACCCAATACAGCATCGGCCACGTAGAGCTCTCTTGTTTTGTCGTTAAATGCTATTCCTGCAGGCCGGCCGCATTTGCCGGCATTAGCAGTTCCCAGGGCTCCATCGCACCATTGCGACTTCCTAAAATAAATAAAAGAAGACAAAATATAAAATTTTAATAATTTGGACAATAAAAAGGTTGAATATTAGTTCTGATAATAGGCGAAAAGATAAATATTGTTTCTATTTTTAATATTTAAATTGATTGCATGCGTATGTTAAATTTGACTTTTTCACGTCGAGTTTGTTGCATTTTTTGGTATACCGTAACGTGTGCCAATAAATGAGAGAAGATTTCACACAGGGCCACAGCCAGCTATGCATCATCAAGTAATATTGTCAACAGGTAATATTGATACTTCAATACTTTTTTCTTGATTTCATGTTAACATTGTTAACTACATTTGCAGAATGCAGTTACCATTAATATATCTCCATTTGGGTCATATGAAAAAGATTTGTTTAATCACAAAAGTCTTGATCCATATCCGTACGTAAACAAGACTAGAAATTTGGAACAAGATCCAGTTGTAAATATAATATGACAAATAATAAGGTTAATCAAGAAAGGGTTTGTAGGTTCTGTTTTTCCAACGTTAAGGAATGCAAATATTATTTAACGAATAAAATATTTAAAACTATTTCTAATTGACAAAATAATTTTTGATGAAGGGACGGACAAAAATTTTTTAGATAAAAAGTAGTTGACATAAAAAAAGGTTACAATCATTTCTAAGTGACAAAACCATAACATGATGATCATCTGTGAAGTTCATCCAGATTTATATTTCGACAACGAAGTATCATCAATGTTATGGTTGACAGTTAACTAAGTATAACCTTTACTTCATTCGTTTTATGCATATGAGACGTATGAACGAAAGTATAACTTTCATAAGGATTTGCTTTAGAAAACCATTTTCACAGGGATTTACTGAGCAGAACAATCTTAATTATCATGTGTTAGCAAGAATTCTGATGCCATTTTGTACATCTGGAATTTTTCTATCCAGTTTTTTTTCTTTGTTAACAAGAATTCTTAATTATCAATGAAAACATGTTTTAGAGCTGTGTCTATTTAGAAAGTATAAGAGAATATAATAAACCAAACTCAACGATTACGCAGCAGAAGCAAAGCATGTTTAAACAACGTTATATGTATTCCAATTTTAATGAACTTAAAAGCATAATTCTAATAAAAGTTGTGTGTCTGTGTAATATTGGAGAATAAAAGAATAAAAACTTACGAGGACTCAGTCATATAGGCAAAGTCGATAAAACCTTTCCCTGGACTATATCTGAGGATTTTACCACCGGATACTCCGGTGTAGACACCTTTTCCGGTGGAATCAATGGCGAAAGCTTCAGTGCCTGACCTCATTCCCGGCACCGGAAGTTTTTGGAAAGATGCGTCATGGGAGAATACAGCAGACGAAAGAGAGAGAAGAGAAATCAAGATGATAGATAACGTCATAACTTTTTGTTGGCCGCCTTTTGTTGCTAGATTGTGGCTTGTGGTCTGTATATTTATAGCTTTGATTTTTTTGTATTTTTTATTTTCTTTTATTGAACGTTCTTCTTTTGATTTCCAGTATTTATGGAAATAATATTCATATATAGCAGCAAATCAGACTAAGAGTAGCAGTTATCTTTATATAAGGAGAAAAATATGCCTAGATTGCGTTATAATCTCAACATTGATTAGAAGTAGATTGCCGAAAGATATGCATATCTTAGAGGAAACTGATTAGGAAGATAATATATGGTTTACAGAAATATGATTCTGCTTTTTTTTTTTACTACACATTTGTTTCTAAAAGAGTGGTCATTTAACATTTTATTTTTGTTACAAAATATATCATTTCAATGCAACTCTGAATTTAAGATTAATTACAAACGTATTGATTTTATAAATAATGTTATTCTTATCAAATATTATAGGTTGAATTGGTGTAATTAATAAAAAAATAATACATTTTAATTACTTTTTAATTTGTGTGAAAATGTCAAACTGATATTTTTACAAAACAACAAATGTATTAACTAGTTTCATTGGTCTAGTAGTTTGACTAAAGGTTTATCAATACTTTTACAACAAAAGGTCTGAATTTCGAAGATGGAATTATGCAGAAAAAAAAACATCAATCTTAGGAGTCGATTAAAGAAAATCAGATATTAGGACAAAATCCACCCCGAAAATTTGCATTACAGACATATTTATTAAATTACACCACGTAATTAATATATAACATAATATTAACAGTGTTATGGACTACATAAACATACAAAAAGGATTCCAAAATTTAAAGTATATTATAAAAAAAAACTTTAAAAATTGGGATGTTTTTTCCAATATACTCCCTCTGTTTCAAAATATATGTCATTTTAGATTTATTTTTTTGTCACAAATTAAGTGTCGTTTTAAAGTTTCGAGGCAAAATTTATTAGTTTTATATAATATTCTAATTTTCTATTGGTTGAAAAGTGGTTAGGTGTATAGATAATTATGTTTTTAATTTGGAAATATGTAAAATTAAATATTTTCTTAATTTATGTAGAATGACAAATAAAATGAAACGGAGGGAGTATCATTTTTAATAGTGAGGTTGACAACCAAAAAAAATCCAAAATTCTTTCGGGTAGTCGTTATCAAACCAAAACCAGTCAAAAACAAAAGTAAAACACAAACCGCGTCGTAAGAAGTTATGAAATATGATGTCCTATCTGTTTTCTTTAAAAAATATTATAAGACCTTAATCCTCATTAAACATAGTTAACCAGGGTATAAGAATAAAAAAAAAACGGAATTTATAAAAATTAGAAAGAAGCGAGCTAGCTTGAGTTGATTTTCTTCAATAAAAGTTTTGAGACTTATGGTAAATTTATTATATAGATTGAATAACTAAAGATAATTTTTCAATGTACCTAATAAAACAATCATAATTAGTCATACAAAATTAAAGTTTCATTATTCCAGCAAAAGGTCCAGTAAGTGTTCCAATATAAAGTTTGCCTTCGAACTCATTGGCTTCACTAAGCAAAGTGTTCCCAAACTCACTCTTGAGAAAAATAGTCTGAAGAACTTTTCCATTAGAATCGATTTTAACAGCCGAAGGATTCGTTGGCACGACCACCTTGTTCTTGACTGAAGCGACCCAAAAGTTTCCAGTAGCACCGATCCTCCTAATGTTGTCGGGGTTCGAGACAGAACTTGTGACGTCTTCCGTCGATCCAGCTTTGGGTCCTGTGATCCAGTATCTCTTGATGTTACTCTTTATGAACTCGCTAACTAGCACAAACGAACCATCTGAGCTCACGGCGCAACCAGCCGCACCACTTAGACCTTCCGTCAATACAGTCACTGCTTTAGTCGATGGGTCGTATTTGAAGAGCTTTCCACTCGCGTCTTTTAATCCAACTGCGATAAACACTTCACTGCATTGCATAACCCAACAAATATTAGTACGTAATGATTCAATAAAAAAATCATGTATACATTTATAAATTAATAACACTAATTTCAAATTTCTTCTGAATACCCTAAATTTGTTAGAGTTTTGACTATTAACAATATAAAAATTATAATAAAGTAGTTTGTATTGGTATCGTTATAGCTCATAATCATGAAGCTACGTGCATGTATATGTTATAGACGACGGAAAATATGAGGTAGAATATATATATATGTTTTACCTAGGGCTGAACTTTGAGCTGAAAGAGGTGAAGTAGACGACACCGGTGATGGGATCAACGTCAAGACCGTCGAGAAATTTGAAGGGCTTTCCGTCGACACTGTCGGCGATCTTTGTGGCCAAACCTCCGGTGGGAGGGATAACGTGAAGACCCAATGGAGCATCAGCGACGTAAAGGTCACCTGTTTTGGGGTGGAAGGCTATCCCCGCAGGTCGGCCACATTTCCCGGCCAGAGCGGTTCCAACTATTCCATTGCACCATGACATATTCCTATAATAAAATTAGCATAATTACGTACGACGTTAATATTATAAGAACCACCAGCTTTGACAAGAAGAATAATCATCAAAATATGTAAATCTTGAAAACTTTAATAAAACAAGGATTAATATGTAATATTATTGATCATATTGTAAGTCAAGTTTAATGAAACTTACGAATTCTTTGTGATCAGGGCAAAATCTTCGAAACCCTTTTGAGGAGTATACTTGAGGATTTTACCACCGGAGACTCCAGTGTAAAAAGATTTTGCGGTATCAAAGGCGAAAGCTTCAGGGCCTGACCTCATTCCCGGCACCGGGAGTTTCTGGAAAGACGCGTCATCGGAGAAAACAGCTGGAGAAAGAGAGAGAAGAAGGAGAGAAATCACGAAGATAGAAGTCATTCTATATATTATTAGCTGTGTTCTTGATATCTACTGTTGTTACAAGAACTGTTTATGTCTGTATTATAGTTAAATATTTGATTTTTAAGAAAAGGGAAACTGAGATTTCCTCTTTTTTTGTTAATGAGCAAAATAGAAACGATTGATTGTTGCCTTTTATAGATGGGGAAATAATCTACTTTTTTTTCAACATCAATATTCTACTTATTCTGCGTGATTAGACAGATTTAATTGTTGTATACAATCCACATTTAAATGCTGAAAATTGGAAGTAAATCAGACTAAAAAGCAAATTCCCTGAAGAAATAAAGAAACAAATAATATGCACAAACTATACTAGTTTTATGTGTGAATGGTACATTTCTTTCCAAGTTTCAACCATGACTTCCATATCTTAAACGATACCCTTCTTATTCTGGGTGATTCGGCAGATTTGATTGTATGCAATCCACATTAAATGCTGAAAACTGGAACTATTTATAGAGTATCTATCAGACTAAAATAATCACAGTTTTAAAAATATTATTATCTTATTATTTTATCGATTTGTGTCATATTTTACACCGGTCCAAATTGGGACCGGTGAAATTTATTAATTTATAGAGATTATTAATTTATCGAGTATTATTTTATAGAGGTTCTACTGTATACACAAATATACTAGTTTTATGTGTGGTACGATTAGTATATTCCTTTTTGCACAAATACGATAGTACTCCTCTCATTTCAGTTTTAGCTCTAAGAAACATTAAATACGTTTAATGTGTGTGTTTCTCTTATATTACACGCATAACTATATATTTATGTAGAAACGTGATATATATGGACTTGTTGAAACTTGTCATAAATCGGAGCTACGCATAAAAGATAATGGTACGTGCGTTCCGGTTTATCCCAGTTATCCGGAAAAAAAAATCATGTGTCCACGAGTATCAATCACATTACAACAAAAGACTTGTGGAAAACCTGTTTCGTTTTATTTGTTTTTTTTTTTCAAAAAGAAAACTTCGATACTTCTCAGAGAAAAAGCTACAAACGTTGTTGATACGAAGCAAGACTCATTTGGTTGTCACCTAAGCAAAAACCAATGACTACCTTTTTCTCAAATCTTCTCACGGTGATCTGAAAGCTTCCCCGGCGTAACGCACGTTGCCAAGTTCCTCTTCAATACGGAGAAGCTGCAACAAAAACAAATCAAACTCACGGTATCAAGTTTGAATGTCTCTAAGATTTATTGAGTTGTATAAGTTTTGGATGTCAGTTAATATTACCTGGTTGTATTTTGATAAACGTTCACTTCGGCAAGGAGCACCAGTTTTGATCTAACATAACACATGTTGTTGATTAGATAAGAGCACTCTATGATAAAGGCAGGTTTGGAGTATATATTATTACCTGTCCACTTGCTAAACCAACAGAAAGATCTGCGATAAAGTTATCCTCTGTTTCACCACTCCTGTGACTAACCATCACACCCCAGCCTGCAGCCTTGGAGTCAAGTGCTGCTTGAATTGACTCAGTCACTGTCCCAATCTGGTTAACCTGTAAAACCACACAAAAGATGAGTCCTCCAATAACTTAGAGAAAGTAATGAAATGTTTTTTACCTTCAACAACAGAGCATTGCAAGACTTTTTCTTGATAGCTTCAGCTATCCTCTTAGGGTTAGTGACCAGCAAGTCATCACCAACGAGTTGGATATCAACAGAGGATTGCAATGAAGCCCATGAGCTCCAATCATCCTGGTCAAAAGGATCCTCGATAGATACAATAGGGAAGTCCTTGATGAACTCTCTGTAGAGGTCAGCAAGACTCTCAGCTGATAGAACATGAGCTCCATCGTTAGGCTGTTTCTTGAAGTTCAAATCGTATCTTCCATCTTTCATGAAAAACTCTGACGCAGCTACATCCATTCCTATTTTGATCTGCAATATTTAAATTATGTGAATGGTGTGTAAGCATTGACACCAAATGATTTTGAAATTGGACAATGGTTACCTTTCCAGTGTAACCAGCCTTTTCAATTGCATCTATGAGTAGAACTAGTCCCTCTCTATTATCTTGAACATTTGGAGCAAACCCTCCTTCATCTCCAACGTTACAAGCATCTTGACCATACTTACTTTTGATTATCCCCTTCAACGTATGGTAAACTGTAACCAACCAAATACATTAGGTTCATTACTATAAAAAAAATTGCTTAAACTCAAATATACTTTTACCTTCACTTCCCATCTGGAATGCCTCAGAGAATGAGGTTGCTCCTACAGGTAATATCATAAACTCTTGCATAGCCAAACTGTTCCCAGCGTGACTCCCTCCGTTGATGACATTGAAAGCAGGAACCGGCATTACAAGCTCCTTTGTTCCAGAGAGTTCCTGAATGTGTTTGTAGAGAGGCACTCCTTTGGCTCCAGCACCTGCCCTGCAAACGCTCAGTGACACTCCTAATATAGCATTAGCCCCGAGTTTCGCCTTGTTCGGGGTCCCATCAAGTTCCAGCATAAGAGCATCAACAGCAGCTTGGTTCCTTCAAATAAAAAAAAATAAGAAAAAAGGATATTCAACATAGGTTGCCCCATCACCAAACACCATTTTCAAGAGAATTCATAAGCAACTAACACAAATCAAAATCAAAATCAAAACAAGAACCCATAAACAATCTCAATAGTTTTTACTATATTAGAAAAATGAGATATAACAGATGCAAGTAAATAACAGGAAACAGACGAATAAAACACTAAAAATAATACAACATAGAGATTTAACATGTTTCACCAAATTGGCTCATCAAGGGCAAACATAAATTTTATTATTAGAAGCTATTAACCACAAGATATATCAGTAATCTAATATCTTAGGCGCCCGCCTAGTCGGCAAATCGGATATTTTTAAAAACTGGTTTAGGCATTCAAAAAATCAGTTAGTCATCCGTATAAACCATAATCTTCTAGCCTAGCAATTTTTTGAAAATTGAGATATGTAATAATAGTATTCTTCATCCTAAAACCCTATTGCTAAGGACTTAAACCCAATAAATATAACTAGAGCATAATACTAGTATCCCATATAACCAAGCAGCAAGATACTGACTAACGCTACCAGACCAAACAGTTTCAAAACATATCAACAAAGATTAATCAAACAGCTGTTTTATAGATCTAAAATAAGAAAAGTAACACCAATGTCTAAACAAAAGTTATTTATTATTACCTAACGTCAACTCCAATGAGTTTCGGAGCCACAAGTTCGTTAATATTCTTAATAGCCTGCAAAACACCTTTACCACCATACACACTCTTATCACCATCTCTAAGCTCAAGCGCCTCGTAGATCCCAGTAGATGCACCACTGGGAACAGCGGAACGGTACAGATCATCAGTAACCAGATCAACCTCCACCGTTGGATTGCCTCTGCTATCAATAATCTGCCTCGCTTTCAGTCCTTTCACTCTACACTCTTTAGCCACCACGGAGCATTGCACACCTGTGCGGCGGAATCTCAGGCATGACGGCGCGGATTCAGAGTAGCGTTGGGTGGGGAGACGGTGGTTTGAGGAGAGGAAAGATCTCTGGAGTTGGTGAGGTTTGGTGGTCAAAGCCATGAGTGGAAGCCTAACAAGAAAGGAGAAACTAGTGAGAGGAAAAGGAGGAGATGGAGGTTTTTTTTTATGTTATATTTGAAAAACGTCCTTACGAGGGTTGGTGTAGGCGATGAAAACTAAGGAGTCAAAAAGGTCAAGCTTAAAACCGGTTTAATCTCGGTTTTATTCCGGTTTAACATGTGTTACGTAAAGATCATAACCAATTCAGAGAAAAATGTAGAATTAAACTATTGTTCCAAATAGAAACCGACTCAATCTAATTTAACTGATAGATATTTGGTTTGGATTAGCTAATACTGCCTCCATTTCAGTTTACACATCTTGTAGAAAAAAATTTTTGTTTCAAAATAAGTGTAATTTTATAGTTTCGATGTATAATTTATTAACTTTAAATATATTTTTTTATTGGTTGAAATGTAGTTAAATATATAGATAACTGTGTTTTTATTTTGAAAATATGTAAAATTAAATATTTTCTTAATATGTGAACAAAAATTTAAAACGATAATTAAAATAAAACGGAAATAATATTAGTTTTGGTTGTTTTCTCTATTCATATTGGATTATTGGCTTCCAACTTGACCTATTATTTCTGCAACAACAAAAATATGTTATAATGTTAATTAAATAACAAGTGTGTTACTTTGTGCATGTCTTTCATGTTACTCATAGTTCGTGTACAGTGTACTTAGTTCCAATTGTGTAGTCATATGATGTCTTATAGTTGGCATCGGTAACAATCTAGAACAAATGTACTAAGTGGTAGTTGGAGAAATTAGACACAAAATCAGATCAAGAGTCAGCGTTTACTTCACCTCTAAGGGAGCAATGTATTTTGTTATATTATAGTTTTTGAGAAGCTTTAGATGAAGCTGATGAGGATTTCTCCCCTTTATACACCTTTCCATGTCATTCTTTAACAAACACTGGTCGGCTAAAAGCTTTTCAAAAGACTAATCTTCATGTGCACATGCCTCTATATCACTATATATTGTGTCTTTGATTTTCAAGAACCAAAACATCATAATCTCCAATGGCAATGACTAGTACTAGTGGTAGCACTTCTTTGTATCCTCCTGCTCAACAACCGCAACAGCAATTACTAGGCAATGAGATCGAGCCTACGGCGACAAATGCTAATTTGGTCGCAGCACCAAACGGTCAAAACCACTACTCGTCCGGCTCCATTGGACCCTTCTTTGCAGTCATCTCTGTTCTTTTCTTTCTTGCAGTTCTCTCCTGCTTCTTGGGAAGGATATGCGCACGGAAACGACTCCAGAGAAGTGGTGTAGTGGCTGAAGTCAATCCGTTGGAGATGATAAAGAGTCGTGGGCCTTTAGGGTGGCTGAGAAGGAAATGGACACGGTGCTTGACCGGAGACGTGGAGGCTGGAGCTAAAGTTACCGACTGTACCGGAAAAGAGACGCCTAAAGATGGTGATCAGGCTCGTCTAGAAGCTCCTCCAGCTTGAACTCTGATTCAGTTTGTATTTTAGAGTGAGACTAATAATAAAATTTTAGAAACGTTTGAAGTAGTAGAACGTAAACAAAATACGACATACTCGAAATGTTATTTCAGTTCTTTTTTTTTGTGCCAGTTATTTTCAGTTCTTCAACACACATAATTGTAGTTTCATTACTTCAATCTTCACAATGTAAATCTTGTGAAATTTTACACTCACGTTCAAAAACAAGATCGATATATTATCCATATGTAAACACAGAAAATAGAGTAATATCAGAAGCCAAAATTTGTTTTTGATCGGTGAACAAGAACAAGACCAACCGTTAGGAAGGTAAAATAAAACTAAAAGAGACACTCTTAAATATGCTAGGAAATCTAGAAAACAAGCTCATGAGGCTTCATCCCTTGTTTCAATGAGAACCTAGCACCAAGGTAAGTCTTCAGCTCTGGAACTGCTTCAATGGCTTTGATCAAAGCTGCGTCCACAGCCTTCTGATCATCTTTCTTCCCTTGTGGAATCTCCTTCTTCTCCTGTGGAAATTAAAACCCATTAAAGTGGTCAAAGGTAGTTTTTTTTAATTTGGTAACGTACAAAAAAAGAGAACTTCTAATTTCTAGTAGGGACTAAGACGAGAATGGACTAGAATGATATACCTCTTTATCTGCCTCGAAGAACTCTCCTTCTCCCTTCTTGTTCTTCTTCTCAGCAACCTTTCCAAAATACTTATCATCAAATTTATCAAGACTAACTCCAGAAACGTCAACCTTTGTGGATGTTCCGATCACATAGGACTGGTTAACACGTCTCAAAGGAACACCATTGATCTTGAACGGTCCTGAAAGCCCAATAACAAAAACATGAACACGTCAGGTGACAAACAAAACGAATAACCTTCGCTTCAAAAAGATCCTGAGAACGAAGAACTCACCGGACACAAGAAGCAAACCAGAAGAAAGCTGCTTCAAGAAGACAACTCTCTTTCCCTTGAACCTACCAGCAAGGATGATCAACACTGTCCCTGGAGTGATGCTGGATCTGCAATACAGACATAAGACATATCATTCTCTTGCCATCAAGATGAAACAAAGACTAATCACACAAAACTCCATCTAATAGTAAAGTATAACTAAACCAGACAGTCTCTCAACCGAAGTTTAAGTACACGTCGGACTTTAACTAACTCAACTAACTAAAAAAACAAACAAAACATGTCGGAATTAAACTTAACTCAACTAACTAAACAACAAAACACAACATGTCGGACTTTAACTTAACTAGCTAATCAACCAAACACATAACAGACAGTTACAGCGAACTAAGTTTCTATCTAAGACCACGTGGCAGTGTGTAATAAAAAAAAAAGTACCTGAGCTTGGTCGGGTGTGCCTTGCGCCTGTTAGCGAGAGGTTTCTTAAAATCTTCAGCAGGATAGAACTTCGGGGGCTTCTCCACCGGAGAATCAACTTTGGACTTAGCGTCGTGGCGAGGGAAAACGCCACCGTTTTTGGCCTTGATAGCCCAAAGACCTCTCTTATGGTACATCTTCGACCTCGAGTATTTACCAACTCCCCTGATAAGATCAGGGTTACGGCTGACTTTAGGTGTCCTCTGTTTCGCCGGCATCTTGGCGCTTTGAAGGTGATGACAAGTTTTTTTCCGGCTGCAAAAATGAGGGAAGAGAAGCTACGATAAAGAAGTGGAATGACATTACAAACCCTAGATTAATATGGGCCATTTCTGGGCTTTAGAGTTTTATTAGGGTTCGATTTTCGGCCCAGTTATTATGTAAAACCGTTTAAATTTTTACTAAGTCCATACATTGATTTCATAAGGATTTTTTTTTTCTTTCAATTGATTTTTGAGTTAATTGGCTAAAGTACCATAAATCCCACCTATAATTAGCGAATTAACCTTGATTTGACACTTGCTTTTCGTCGGACGATTTTGCCCTTCTGTGTTTCGATAACCTACTTTCGTAGACTTACGCGCCTACGGGTAGCTGTGTCAGAGCGCCACCCACGCGTGATTTATTTCCCGTCAACCGTTTTGTTTTCCAGTAAAATCGAATGCATGCTTTTCTATTTTCGAAATTTGAATTTCGTCATTAATTTTTGTCTCTTGAGTTTATCTTCTTCAAACACCAAATCACAGCTTTCGTTCTCCCTCTTTCTCCCCACTATTTTTTTGTTCTGATAACTAAATTTTTACCCAACTCTACCTTCTTTTATTTTCAAATTAGTATGGTAATAGGTACACTTAAATTTTTCAAGGTAGCTTAGGATGTTGCGCTTAAACTGCAATCCCGGATAACCGAGGAAATGTGTGTTTTTAAAATTGCACACAAGTCGTCTTAGGTTTCAGAGTAGAATAGGCACCTATTAGAATCAGCGTGGATATCTTGTGTCAGTCGACTGACACAAGCGCCGAAAATAAAATTATTGGTAGAAGGTTAGTTCGGTCTTTTCGGCTTGGTGAGGGTATGTCTCGGGCCCTATATATCAATCAAGGGTTACTTCTCCAATTTGAACCTCTATTTGGGGCAATACACTAAATCACTCTTGATTTTTCGTTACGAGCTTTCCATAAAAGAAATGTATTTCTCTGATTTTTATATGCGTTGTTCTATTTTTTTTTTTTTTGAAACATATATGCGTTGTTCATACGATGTTAAAATAACGTTAAAATAACAGACAAGTTTATAAACTCTAACGATGTCATGTCACAATAAGTACTTGGCGGATGGGTCCGAGGGTTTTGCATTGGGTAGTATCATTGTCCCTTCACTTTCTTTACCTGGTACTTGTATGTCTTGTGTTAATAATGGCGTTGGCAAATGAAGAAATTATGTAATTAAGTGATTCTGTAGATAAGAAACTGAAAGTTTTACACATCATATGTGATGTGTAAGAGAATATTCCAGAGATGCGTTCACCAAAAGACGCTCCCAAAGAAAACTTTATTCAGCAAGTCTCTGTGATTACTTAGTTTAAGATGCAAATGTGGACAAATATTTCTAAACTAAGAAAAGTTATTGATTCATCTCCTTTAATTTGTTTTCAGTCGCCAGGTTATTTGTTTAATTATATGTTGTCCAGGTCCAGTGTTTTAGGGGCCAAGTTGTATGTTAGTAGTTTCTTTAAAACTGCAATGACGTCGACTACATAAGTACATACATTACCAACCTTCCTCGAACGTTCAATATGTTTGTATAACCAAGACCGCCAACTAGTTTCGTAAACCGTTTCGTATTTCTTAGTTATCAGAACTATTTTCGGGTTTTAAACGTTTTTTTTTGTTTCTTGTTTACTACTATAATGTTTCTAAATTCAATTCGGTCTCTCTTTAGAAAAGTCTCGCACTCCATCTTTTACAGTTGGTTTTATTTTTAAACAAAAACACTATGCACGTACTCTTTTGGCTTTTGTTGCTATGCATATCTCGAGATGAGTTTATATTCTTGCAACTCGTGAGACAAGAAGTCGTGAGCTATGACTTTAGACAAATTTTAACTACATAACTAATGGATATTCTGATGACTGATGAGAAAATTCTACAAAAAGAAAATATGATAGTAGAGTATACTTATTACATTTAACGTTCCGACAGTTCATTCCATTTAACATATGGTTTGGTGCTCAAACCGGTAATTTAAGTTCAGTTTGATTTAGAATGGATCCAGCCGAATTGAACATCCTAACTTTAACCTAAATATATGTGTTTCTATCCACGCATTTCTGACTATTCTATTTTGAATATATATTAGCTATGAAAAAAAAAATCTAACGTTTTAAACAATGAATTTAGATTTCGGCCAAGGTTTTAAAATTGAATTAGCAAGAGAAAAACACAACGTCTGATGTGGACCTAAACTGTATAAAATTGTACGAGTTCGTAGCAGCCACATGCGAAATAGTAGTATCCGTCGAAAATCTCATATTGAAAAAAAAAATCCACAAGTCACATTGAAAAAAGTAAGTTATATAGGACTTGTGACAAAGTTATATAGGACTTGTGACAAAGTTATATAGGACTTGTGACATAATGGTACATATATTCGTTGTTTTTTCCTTTGGTCCAATGATGTTCCGAGCTTTGATCAAGAATGCTGTCTCAGACCAAACCATTTTAAAACTTATTGGCTGGAAAAGACATAAACTATTAGTTGCAACTTACAAGTTAGTATGTTTACTGTAGTAACTGCAAAGGGTCTAACTCATAAAGCAAATAAAAACTCAGAAAATTGGCTAGCAGGAAAACTAGCCAACTAGGATACGTACAAGAACCTCCCATTGCAATCTTTTCGCACTGACAAAGTCTACATATTATTGAATACGATTAAATATTGTATAATTAATAAAAAGGTTGAAATCCACGTTTGCAAACAATTAAAAAGGACGCCGTCGGCTGCACAAGAGCCACGCACACAAAATAAAAAGCTCTCCGCTCCTTCCTGAAATTTATCACTTGCCTTAGCCAGCAGCCAAGTGAAAGCAAAACAAAGCTCTCTCTCTTCTCTCTATATTTTCATCTCAAAATAAGAAAAATAATTACCTTTTTAGAACTTAGAAGAAACTATCAAGTTTTTTTATGCTAAAAAAGGAAGTATAGTTTCGAGTAAGAACAGTATGTCGATAAGACGTATCTATCCATGCCTTAATGTTCTCATCAAAAGATCAAGTCCTTTCTTTGCATGATCAACCACAAGACCACAACACAAAGTCTATATTTCTTCCTCTTTCTCTAGCTTCTGTTATAACAATCAAGAATCAAGAATGGTACGGACACCGTGTTGCAGAGCAGAAGGGTTGAAGAAAGGAGCATGGACTCAAGAAGAAGACCAAAAGCTTATTGCTTACGTTCGACATCACGGTGAAGGAGGCTGGCGAACCCTACCCGACAAAGCTGGTATATTATTTTTTTCAAAATCAAATTACTAACTCCACAAAATATATATTAATTCAGCCAGTTTGGAAATATGCAGTCAGCTTTTTCTTTGCATTATACTATTATATTAATACTTCATGTTTTTCAATCTAACAACATTATAGGACTCAAAAGATGTGGCAAAAGCTGCAGACTGAGATGGGCCAATTACCTTAGACCTGACATTAAGCGTGGTGAGTTTAGCCAAGAGGAGGAAGCTTCCATCATTAATCTCCATGCCATTCATGGCAACAAGTAAGTTTTTAATTTTAGAACATCACATTTTCTTAAGGACACTAAACTAGTTGCCCAAAAAAAAAGGCTAACTGAATTATTTCAGTATTGATTTGCATTTGTTATATTTATATTTATAAAAGTGTTTAATTTATATGGTTTGTGTATGATATCATATCATATTATGATTTAATTTTGTTAAATAAAGATATTTGCCAGATATAAACTGTAAAAGCAAATGCCAATACCAAACTCATTATATTATTGTTAGAAGATATTATTTAAAATAAAAATAATTGAGCAGAATAATTTAGGTGTAAAGGTTGAATAAAATAAAAAATAACTACTCCATTATACAATGTGATTGCATGAAGTAATAAATAATGTTTTGATGATCAGATGGTCCACCATAGCTCGTAGATTACCTGGAAGAACAGACAACGAGATCAAGAACCACTGGAACACTCACATCAAGAAACATCTTATCAAGAAAGGTATAGATCCGTTGACTCACAACTCACTTGATGGTAAACCATCTAACCATCCAGAGACATCGAAGGATAAAAGCAGCGTTTATCAGGAGGAGCATGATCAGAATTCAAACAATAATAAGTCGTTAGGGTCATCATCAGCTCGGTTACTGAACAGAGTAGCAAACAGATTTGGTAAGAGAATCATCAACCACAGTGCTCTGTCTGATATTATTGGAAGTGGTGGCCCATTTACTAGTCACACTACTTCAACTACAAGTGCTTCTGAGTGTGAGAAGTCAACAAGTTCTTCCTCCACACCAAACTCTTCAAATCTTCACATGATCCTCGATGCAACACCTTTGTCCTCGTCTACGTTCTCTAACGACACCTACGCTTCGTTAATGTACGACAAAGTCTTTGATGACATAGAAGATATGACAGGATTTTCATCAAGATGTTTGAATGATGAAGATTTCTTGACGTTGGATGAGTCTTGTTCAAAGAATACTTTGTTCATGAGGGAACTTGCAATGATTCTTCAAGAGGATAAAAATGAGGCGACATCGTTTAGTGATAGCCACGTGAGGCCGATCAATGAGGTTGATAACTACTCCTTTGAAGGGATTGACAACTGGTTTGGATAAAGTATATCTACAGAAATGTATATTAGCTTCCGGCCAGGAATAGTCTAAATTTAATGATGATGATGATGATGAAAATATGGCAAGTATATCAATTAGAATTTGATTTTGCTGAGTTTTTTTATATAGTCAGTGTGAGTTTGTGAATGATTGTAATGTTTATTTTGTAAGAAACTAACTACAAAGCAATAATAAAAAGTTACGTAATAAGGTATCATGTTTGAAATTGAATCGGAATAAACATCTCTGATATAAATTAACCACTAATTAACAAAATTATTTACAGATATTAGATTGTTGAGTTCATCTAACTTTCTTGGAGATATTCATAGTGTTTAATTTACTAATAGGAGATATTCATAGTTGCTATTTGTTTTCTTTTGGTTTAGTATGCATAATGTTCCATTCGCTATTGGTTTGATGACTAGTGTGTGGACTACCTAGCTAACTGCTACGGGAAGCAGGTGAGAATCATGATCATTTATATATTATCCTTTCTCTTCCACTTAGCACTATTATTTATAACCTGATTCCACTTAATTAAAACATGTATATGAATATAATTAATGATATAATCGCACAATGACAAAAACTAGATAATGTAAAAAATATTTTTTTCATAAATAATATAAAGTTGGTTTAAATAATTAGTGTAGTAAATCTGAATGTGTGTATTTTAGAAGTATATATATTTGTATGTATATTCTGATACATTGACAGGAAGCATTTGTTTAACAAAATACAGAAACATGGCCATTCAAAATAAAATAAAACTGTTTTAAATATTAATAAAACGATCACATGATTTATGACTTAACTTTTCAAATCATCCAAGGGGCGGTAAAGATTCCAAATTAAAATATAATAAGTCATTTATTAAAACAAGAAGTACGAAAGCAAATATAATCCAATCCCAAAGACCCCGTGACTATGTGAGTGCTGGTTAATTATGTAGTTACTACTAATAAACAATACTATTTTACTCCGTGAACACGATTTACTCATTGCCCATTTTTGATACTCTTTAAGAATTTGTTAAAACGTCGTAAAACCCCTTTGATTTACAGAAGAAAACAAAATTAACAAACGAAAATGTGCGTGGACTATATAAAATGACAAGGCAAAAAAGAATAATGAATGCAATAAAGTTTTGAATATCAGACCTGACTCTTGTTTTTGGTCAAATCAGACCCGACTCTAGGAAGTAGTTAAAATTGAAAAAAATTAAAACAACGAAATACATGATTTTTAACTATTATTATTACTCTCTCCATTTTCAAAAGATATATATTTGCGAATTTTCACACATCAATAAATATTTGAAAGTTTAGTTAAAAATGTATTATATTTATGATTAGCTATTTTCACAATTGTTAACTAATCAAAGTAAACGTCATTTTAAAATATGTAGTAGTTTTAGAATCTTATAAACATGCTTTTAGTTTTTATAAAAATTAATTTTTTGTCAGCCTTTAAATAAAAGATTTATGTAATATTTTTTATTTATCTTTTAATAATTATATTATTAGTTAAAAAGACTATTTTAAAATTTTAACCTGCTACACATATTAACTGATATGAATCAGATAATGAGTTGAAGACAAAGGTTAAAATTTTCACTAATTTAAAATGTTAAATTTTATTAATAAAACATTCAATTGAGTTTTTCTCCAATGCTGATGGTTTTAACGGCTAGTTCTAGTCTATAATGTTAGCACGTGTTTCGTGACCTTTTTTTTTTGTCAACAAGACTCTTGACTATTCAATGATTCATGACGTAAAATTTCAACTAGAGATATTTGTAAATGGACAAGATTTGCATAATTATTTATTTCACTCATAACTTTCAACATTGGCTCCTTTCTATTTGGCATTTGACGGGATTTTGAAAATTAATTTTGTTTCTAATCAACTAATAAACTAATAGTTATTTGTTAAGAAATGAAGATGGTGGTTGGGACATATCCGGAAATGGACCAGACCACATCAGTACCATACCAGGCGGCCAAGCATCAGTCACTATCCTCCCTTGTATTTATCCATATGTTGTAGTTATCCTAATCATTATAGGATTAGGATAATCATCCCCTTTATTGTTGTAATCCTTATCTCCTAAGGAATATGCTT